CAAGCCGCGATTGCGTTCCAGCATCAACAGCCTGTCGCCTCTGGTGTATTCAATGTTCATTTTATATTTGTGTATTTACGCACTTCATCTGAAAGTATTGACCACTTTGTCTGATATAGCACACTTTAAAACATATTTTGCTTCATTTATATATATATATATATAGAGAGAGAGAGATAGAGATAGAGATAGATGAATGGAGTGAGTAAGGAACAGACTGAGATAGATAGATAGATAGATAGATAGATCGTATACTTCGTAGCTTGCCTGGCGTTTTCAGCTAATCTGTTGAATGAACTTCCTAATACAGATTGAAGCTTACTTATTTTATTTTTTTATTTTCTTCACTTTCTACATGGATTTAATTTCTTTTGCAGATTAAAAAAAAACTTTGGAGAGTTTTGGCGATTAACAAAAGATGGCCGACAAAGAAGCATGCTCCAGGATTGAACAGCGGTCAGTTATCAAGTTTTTGTTTGCTGAAGAATTAAACCAGTTGAAATTCATAGGAGAATGTCAACTGTGTATGGTGCCACATGTTTCCAGCCAAAAAATGTCTACAAGTGGGCTAAATTGTTTAAAGAAGGACGGAGCAGTGTTGAGGATGAAGACAGGCCCTGGGAGGCCTACAAAGTGAGGTCTCCCTGAGGTGATCGAATCAGTCAATGACCTCATTCAGTCTGACAAGTGGATCTACTGTGAACTGCTTTGGCAGGTTAAGAAAGACATAAGAACAAACGCTGGGGTCATGAGTCAGAAGGAATCATCTTGCATCATGACAACGCCAAGATTCACACAGCAGCCCAAACAGTGCAGACCATCAACAGCGCTGGGCTGGGAACTATGGTCATCCCCCATAGCCCAGACCTTGTCCCTTCAGACTTTCACCTGTTTGGTCCTTGAAAGCCTGATTCACAAGGGCAAGTTTAAAAGTGACAATGAAGTCAAAAGTGTGTTGTGGAGCGACTGGCTGAGATTTCAGTCCAAAATTTATACGAGGGAATACGAAAGCCACCAGATGGAAAATGCAGGACAGTGCTAACAGACTACGTTTGAAAAAAAAAAAAAAAAGAAAACTTCTATCTGTATTAAAGTCCTTATACCCAAAATTCACCTTATTTATTGAATGACCCTCGTATATATATATATAAATTTAGATATATATATATATATATATATATATTCAATAAAAGAGACGATCATATAACGTAAAAAGAGAATTATTCCTGTGAAAAAATCCAACCAAACTTCCCTTTTACAAAAAAAAAATTCACAAAATGGATTTTATGAGTTTAAAAAAAAGAAAAAGAAAAGAATAAAGAGTTTTTTAATGACAATTTTCCCAAAATTTTATTGTCTTTCTGGAATGATATGAAGTCGGAAAATAAGGAAATGTAAAGAAAATCAGAACTTATTTCCAACGACGAAAAAAAATATTTAAAAATCGGAGTTGCTTTTTAGATGACTGTGAGTTATTTGTAAAAAGACGAACTTTAATTTAACACCTGGTTATAATAACATATTAGATAGGAAAACTTCAGGCTCGTTTATCTGAAAAGGAAAAGAGATATTATGGAATTTAGTCTGAAATGGGCATTTTTTTTTTTTTCCTAAATTGTTTAAAATGATAGCGATCAAAAGAACTTTTTAAATGTTTAATAGACGAAAAGATATTCGTGAAAGAAAAATTGGTTAAAAGTTTAAAATTTGTTATTGCTCTTATTTTTTCTAAAAAGATAAAAAAATTATTAAAAAAATATTCTATTTTCTGACTTTTGTATGGGCTATATATTGAAAATACAGGAATTTTTCCTAAAACATCTTTTGAAAAAAATTTTTTTTTAAAATTTTAAACGGAGTTTTACTTTTCAGTTTAAAAGTTGTATTGAATGAAATTTTTTTTACATCAGTTTGGTATTTAAATATGCTTAAAAATGAATTTCCTATTAAAAATGATTAGATAATATAAAGCATGGCCAACAATCGTGTGGCTTTAAAAAAAAAGAATGTTTATCATTGATCCATTTTCTTTTATATAAATTCCTTGACTGGATAACGTTAACAAAAACAATGTTAAAAGACATCATTTGAAAATTTGAATAATGGATTTTTAATATTTTACCTTAACAATGACGTGGAATGCGGAAACGCAACCAAAAAACAACTTTTCATCCATTTATTTTTTTTTAAATAATGTTCTTGAAATTTAAAAATAGCATCGTTATTTACATTTTCAGATACAGCTACACACAATTTTGTTGCAAGACATATATATATATATATATTCACAGTATATATATATTTAATACGTTTATTTCAATGTTTGTTTGAAGTGATTAAATAATGTATAAATTATCTATTTATGAGTTTTATACCCCAATCTCTCAATGGAAGTATCAATCTATCTATTGGCTATTTTTTGGTGCTTTACATTAAGTCTGTGTATATCACCAAGTGATTTACAAGGATATGTAGGATTTCTATTGATCTATTGATCTATCGTAGATTAAAGGATATAACAGGAACGGGAGATGGTTATTTATAAATACAAAATAATTATTTGGGAATAAATATATTTTCAGGATGAGAATGTACTGGACGTTTAAATATTATATTTAATTTCAAGCGGATGAATCTATGTAAGAATTTAAAATATTATATTTAATTTATTTTATGTTTAACTTGCCTGATTGTATATGTTAGAAAAAATAAAAAATAAAAAATAAATCCATCTATGTTTTCTATTTGTTTTTCTATTTAAATATGTCAGTTCATAAACCAGGTTCGGAAGAATTAGAAGAATTCCATTTTCGGCAGAATAAATTGGAAAAATGTTTTTTATTAACAGATTCAAAGAAGCCATGGATTAGTTTGTGACACCCATTTTCATATAACGAATTAAATAATAAGAATTCAAATACGATACCAACAATTGATTTCGTCAATGATGGACTACATTTTAATAGAAAAGTCTAACATTTTAGACATTTTTAAACTTATAACATTGCCTTACTAACAGAAATTCCGAGATCCCGTTGGAAAACTGAAATTATCTTAGATTATTCACAATAAATTTAAGCTGATATTCGCAAGCGTTAACCTAACCTCAAAAAATAAACTATTTAAAACTCCACAAATATTTTAGATGCTATAACTTTGAAAAAGTCATTCAAGAAGAAATGTTTTTTAATTACTTAAAAACGCAAATTTCAAATATGGTCAAAAGGACGAGAATCTTTGAATTGCAATATGGTTCCAGCGTCTTGTATGAATGAGTTTGAAAAATTGGAAATGGAAACCAAAAAGAAAAAACTATAATTTGTCATAAAATGTTATAACATTTGCACATGTAATTATTAAATATAATATATTATAATTTATAAAAATTTAAATAGTTTTTTTTGAATATTCAGTTATATTATGATTTTCTTTTACATATATATAATGATAATGTTATTAAAGTTATCAGACGATATAAAACCATTTAAAATTTGTGCAAACTAAAAATAGACAAAACTAAGATATATTATTTAATGAAATTCCTCAATATCTATATATATATATTATATATACAAAATGAATATTTTGATATGAATATATTTATGCAAATTGTACATTTAGACAAAGTTATTTTTTTTTTGGTAAATGATCATTTTCAATTAGTCCTCATTATACAACACGTCGAATTTTTCAGCGTATATGGTACCATATAACCTTCCGTTTATATTCAGGTTCTATTTTGAAAAAAAAAAAAAAAGAACTTTCATCTGTTATGAAATCGATTGTTTAACATAGTCAGTAAAAAAAAAACCAAAAAAAAAATAACTTTAACATTTTCATTTTTAATTCTCAATCATTTAATGTATATTATAAATATATTTCTATAATTAAATATATATATACATAAAATATAAATATTTTACTGTTTATCCTAGTAAAAACAAAACCGTATCCAATTTATGGAAATATTTTTCTCAAATCTCTATATACAGTTTCGTATGAATCACCTTTTCATATATATATTTTATATATATATTTATTATTCATTTTCTTTTGATAAAACAGATAAGGTAGGTAGGCAAAATGAATTCTGAAAAAATTATTATTCATATTTTCGTCTTTATGTATGGAGCACCTGTTGTTTTCTTGTTCTTTTTGGAATGACACCAATTTAAATGTCCGTGGATTTTTTCGTCATTGAAAATGAAGATTGTATTTAATGAAACAAGAAGGCGTTTAGGTTTAAACTAAACCGAACATGTCTTCAAAGAAAGAAGATGGTGCACATATTTAGAAAAAATAAATAATAAGAAATTTAATATATTAAAAAAATCAAAACAAAAATTTTTTCATTCTGTAATGAGATGAAATTTACATTTAGTCAATAGAATATATAAAATACTGTTTGAAAAAATAAAAAAAAAAAAAAAAAATTAGACCAATTAGAGAACCTGAAATAAATCAATTATAATCTATCTATAGAATCTATAAACTATAAAAATATAATACTATAATATTGATAAAATATATATATAAAATTGCAGGTGAGTTATTTTACTCTGTAATTTGGTGTCAAATATTCCCAAAACAAAATATAAATAGTTTCCAGAACATAAAACAAAAGAAACAGGAACAAACGCTTGCGGATGAAAGCCCATTTTAAACTATAAATTTTGAGTTATGAAAAACTAACAATTATAGCCAACTAAGAAACTGTTTTGAAGGAAGTAGGAATCTTGACTCCGAGGAAAATCACTTTATTAGACGAATTAAGAATAGATTTAAATACCAATGAATAGAAAAAATATAAATGAAAGAAGAAATATATAAGGAATATAAACTGCAAAATAAAAATTCTTCCCTTTCTTACATCATCTAGATATGCTCTACACAACCCCTACCACTACGCATTTAGAATTTTTAAAAATTCATGTATCACAAGTATATTTACAACCTCCAACCCATTTTTTTTTTAATTGATTATATTGTACTCCATTATTGAAAATCAACAGAAAAAATATTTTTAGCCTTTGGGAGAATGATTCATTTTCTTATAATATAAAAAATATCAGGAGAATGTTTTTTTAAGGATATTTGGTCTGTTTTTAGGGTCTTTTTTTTCTTTTTATTGTTTTTTCTAGATTTGAGTCCCTTCCCCGATTTGACAGTTTTTTATTTTAGCCTTCCATGCTGCCGCCTCGGACGAAAACAGGCTAAAAGATGCTGGGTCGGCGAAAACATTTCGTATTCAAACTCATATTTCCTGCCTTCCTTGATCTTTTCTGCATTCAATCGGGTTTGAGACGGAAGGAATTTTCATATTCACTTTTTGATCTTGAAATAGGGGGAAAATCGAGATTTATAAATTTTGAATTACAAGATTTCCTCCCATTGGATTTAGATATGTCGAAAAGACCTGATAGAAATCCCCATTGAGATAGATAGTCATTATAAATGAATAAACTAAGAACATAAATGAATTCCAAATTGGGAAATTGAAAATACGATATTAGATAATAGATAATCAACATGTTGGGATAGATAGATAGATGATATATATACAGAGAAAGAATATGGCAAAGTGTTATTGAGAGAAACAAATTGAAATCGATTTTTACATTTTAGGTGTCACAAATACATACATAAATGTTTTTTTAGATTTCATATAGATTTTTATTTCTATCTATATCATACATATTATTCATACCAAACTATATATAAATTTGCAGTATTTACGATTACATATATTCATATGATTCATATTGACAAGGTATCTATCTAACAACATCAAACATCACAAACACTAACTTTTGGTGAGGAGTTGGGATCAAATATATATATATATATATATATATATATATAACTACTGAAATAACTGATCAACAATAAATCTATTATTGATTTCACGCAGATTAGACAATAACCTTAATATAAGTTTATTTATTTTCTCTGCTTTTTAAAAAACCAGGATTAATTATAGAAAAAATATAAAAATTAGAGATTATTTACAAGAATCCTTATGAAAAGTGTACAGGGGAGGATCACGAAAAAATATAGAAAACTTAACGAATAGAAGCAAGAAAATAAAAAGGGTGGGGATTGTTTTTTGAATGATAAGAAAGAGGACCGTGGGGCATATAAACGAATTCAAATTTGGGAAAGGACGTGCTGTTTAAAACAAAGAGGAAAGAACAAAGGAAAGAAAGAAAGAAAGAAAAAAAAAAAGAAAGAAATAAAGAATGAATATATATATAGAGAAATATAAGAAATATAAATATAAGTAAGGATAAAAAAAAAAGAAAGAAAGAAGGAAAGAGAGTAGATAAGGGAGAAAGAAAGAGAAAGTAAAATGAAGGCGAAAGAAACGAAGAATGAAATAAAAAAGAAAGAAAAAACGGGAAAGAAAGTGGGAACATAGATAGGTAATTAAAATATTGCAATAGATAGATAAATAGATAGATAGATAAAAAATGAAGGAGAAGGAAAGAACAGAAAAATGAGGAAAAAAGAAAGAAAAATAGGAGAAAAATGAAGGAATCAAAATGAAGGAGAATGAAAGAAAAGGAATATAAGGGAGAATGAAAAGAACGAAAGAAATAAAGTAAAAACGAAAAGAAACCAAGCAATGAAGGAGGTGGAGGAAAAATGAGGGGAAAGAAAGAACGAAAAGAAAATTTGAGAAGAATTTTCTTGTTCTGAGAAAGAAGGAGGGAGGAAAAGGAAAATGAAGGAAAAGAAAGAAAGAAAAGAAAGAAAAGAAAGAAAAGGTTTATTGGAAGGAGGGGACGAAGGAGGAAAAATACTTGAGATGAAAGAAAAAAGAAAGAAGGGAACACCAAAAAAGAAAAGAAAAGAAGGACCCAGAGGAAGGGAGAAAAATCTACTTAAAAGAAGAGCTTTTGACAAAAGAACCTTCTTCAAATAATTTTGAAGGGGGAGGAACACCAAACATGAAGGCGCTTTTTGAAAAATAGAAATAACCGAAAAACTGCTTTGAAAGAAAAGAAAAGAAAATAAAGAGCGAAAAAGGAAGAAAAACCGTCTCCTCAGGAAGAAGGGGGAGAAGGAGGAAAAATGAAGGATAGAAAAATAAAATCTAATTCAAAAGAGGAAAGGAAGGAAGGAAGGAAGAAAGGAGGGGAGGATGGGAGAGATGGAGGGGAGGGAAGGAGGAAAAATAAGAGGATTAACCGTCTCGAGAAAAAGTAAGAAACAACGAATCCCCAAGGAAGGGAAGAAGGAGAGGAGGGGGAAGGAGGAAGGAAGGAAGGATAAAAGGAAGGAAGGAGGGAAAATGAAGGGATATCTGAAAGAAAAAAGAAAGAAAGAAAGAACGAAAGGAAGGAAGAAACGTTTTTTTTGTACCTCTGAATAGAACCGTCTCAAACACTTGAAATAACTGAAGAAGAAAAAGAAAGACAACGAAAACGAAAAGAAGGAAGGAGGGGAGGAAGGAGAAAAATGAAGGGAAAGAAAAAAAGAAGAAAATCTAAAAACAACGAAAAAAAAAGGAAATAAAATAAATAAAATCTTTTGAAAACTGAAAGAAAGTCTCCCCCAAAAGAAAGAAAAATGAATGACATAAAGAAGGCATGAAGAAGGGAACGAACAGAAACCGTCTAAAGGCCAGAAGGAAAGAAAAAATTTAGGAAACAAGGAATCTGACAAGGAGGAAGGAAGGAAGGAAATATTAGGAAGGAATCTGAAGGAGGAAAATGAAGGGAAAGAAAGAAAGTAAATAAGAAAATAAGAAAGAAAGAACGAACGAAAGAAATAAAGGAAGGAAGGAAGGAAAGAAGGAGGAAAAATGAAGGGAAAGAAAGAAAGTAAATAAGAAAGAAAGAACGAAATTTGAAAGAAATGTCCCAAAGGAAGGAGGAAGGAAATGATGTGGGGCAGAAAGGAACAAAACACAGAAAGGAGAGTTCTACTTTTGCTCACTTGAAATACCAATGTCGGTGATCAGAAGTTTGTCAAAACACTTGACGAGTCCATTGACGATTTCAAATCCTGCGTTTCTCAAAGACTATTCGTAAAACTTGAGGAGATGCGATTGGAATTCGAAAACGGAACGCCGGATTCACTTTTAAAACGTCTATACCCTTTGCAGAAAGATGAAGTCAATTCCATAGCAGAAATATTCATTTACGTCTCAACATATGGGAAGGGAATTCGAAAAGGAAAAAGAAAAGGGAAAAAAGAGATGAAGAAAAAATGAATTAAATAAAAATCGTAGAATATTTAAGAAAGAAAGAAAGAAAGAAAGAAAGGGTGTTGAGAAATTTCTTTTTAGAAGAAAGAAAGAAAAAGAAATGAAGAAAGGCTTGGAAAAATTCCTTTTAAAAGATAGAAAGAAAGCAATAAAGAAAGAAATTCATTGGAAATTTCCTTTTAGAAGAAAGAAAGAAAGAAAGAAAGAAAGAAAGAAAGTCCTGGGAAATTTCGAGTTAAAAGAAAGAAAGAAAGAAAGAATGTCCTGGGAAATTTCCATTTAAAAGAAAGAAAGTCTTGGGAAATTTCCGTTCAAAAGAAAGAAAGAAAGAAAGAAAGAAAGTCTTGGGAAATTTCCGTTCAGAAGAAAGAAAGACAGAAAGAAAAAAAGAAAGAAAGTCTTGGGAAACTTCTTTTTAGAAGAAAGAAATGTTTGGAAAATTTGATTTAGAATTTTAATTTTAAGAAAGAAAGTTTCCATTTTTATAATCTTGCTTTCAGGAGAAAGAATAAAAGAAAGAAAGACGCGTGGCTTTCAAAATGAAAACGAACGTCCTTGAGGCATGGACGAAAATCGAAAACTGCACTTTTTGGACGAAATAAAGGGTTTAATTGAAAAGGTTATAATCACCTGAAGAATGCAAAGCGTACAACGGCTGAAACATGCAACTTTAGAATTTAAAGAAGTACAAAAACTGAAATATCTGAGAAGTCTTTTAACAGAGGACGGAAAGTGCAACACTGAAATACGAAGGCACATTGGGAGAGCCAAAGACGCCTTCCACAAGATCCAGAAACTGATATGCTATGTAATAGGTCCTGATCTGGCATCTCGTTTACAGTCACTATCTCACAGACAGACTGTGAACTAATCCGTCTTTCTACAAATATTTCATGGTAACGAACTACTTTCTCTGGTTTAGTGACTGCATGGGATTCAAGAGTGCTACTAGGGTTGGTATCACTGACCAAAACCCTTTCGAAGCATATCGGAAACAGTTCAAAAACTGCCATTGACTCGTTTCTCCAACAGCTTCTTCTTTTAAAAAATGATCCCAATTTTACAGTGGAACTCCCTTCCTGAGTTTCTTGTTTCTATGATAGCTATAATTATCAGATATTCAAATGTAATGTTTTAATTGACATCTTCTGGATGCCTTTGATCTTGATCCCTGTCCATTGAATATCCTTTCCTCAAGCACCCCTCATTACACTTTTTACCTACAGAAGGATGCCCTACCTACCCTGGACTGAATATTTCAGCAAATACGAAGTTTCAAGAAATGAAACAAAAATAAACTTTTAAAACATCAGGAAGAGAAAGGTTTTTCCTAAATGGATTTTATTGTAAGAAAACTTGGAAAAAACAGATAATTCTCAGGTCTATTAAAAAAAAGAGGGACAAAAAATGAGGTAACGCATTGGATCGTTAGTGTTTGTTTTTGACTTAAAAGGATGAAAAAACAGGGATGAAAAAAAAAACCGGTTACATATAAAAATACAGTAACTCATCATTGGTGAGAGCCTTGTTTATTGTGAGCGCCGGAAGCAAAATCACAAAAATAAAAGAAGAAGAACCGAATTTATTTATGAATAAAATAGACCAAGAAGAAGAAGAAGAAATCAATTCAAAATACCAAGAAGAAGGAAAAAATTTTTCATTTCAAAATTTTGTAGAAAAAAAAGAAGAAAAAATAGAATAAGGAAAAGAAAAAAAGAAAAATCAATTTTTACCAAGAAGAAGGAAGAGACCAGGAAGAAGAAGAAGAAGAATAAGAAGAGAAAAGAAGAAGAAGAAAAAGAGAAGAAGAAAAAGAAAAAGAAAAGAAGAAGAAGAAAAATAATTCGCTTTCTAAGAAGAAGAAGACCATTTTGTTTTAGAAAAGAAGAAGGAGAGGAAGAAGAAGAAGAGAAAAAGAAGAAGAAAAGAAAAGAAGAGCAGAAGAAGAAAAGAAGAAAAATTTAGAAGAATAAGAGAACAGGAAGAAGAAAAAAAAAAGAAAAAAAAGAAGAAGAGAGAAAGAAGAATTTAAGAGAAAAACAAGAAGAAGAAGAGAACAGGAAGAAGAAAAAATAAAAAGAAGAAAAAGAAACAAAGAATTAAGAAGAAGAAGAAAAGGAAGAAGAAAAGAAGAAGAAAAAGAAGAAGAAGAAAAGAAGAAATTAGAAGAAAAAAGAAATGAATAACAGGCCAAGATGAAGAAGAAATTTGATGAAAAAGAAGAAGGAGAAAAACAAGAAAAGAAGAAGAAGAAAGAGAAAGAAGAAGAAGAAGAAGAAAAAAGAAGAAAAGAAGAAGAGAGGAAAAAAAAAAAAAAAAGAAAAAAGAAGAAATTGAATTTTTTTCAAAGAAAGAAAAGAAGAAGAAGAAGAAGAGAAAAGAAGAAAGAGAAGAAAAAAGAAGAAAAAAAGAAGTAGAAGAAAAAAAGAGGCTCGAGAAGAAGAAGACGAAGAAAAAAGAAAAAAAAGAAGGAGGAAACAAGAAGAAGAAGAGAAGAAGAAGAAGAAGAGAGAAGAAGAAAAAAGATAAAAAAAAAAAAGAAGAGAAAAAGAAGAAGAAGAAGAGAAAAAGAAGAAGAAAAAAAAAGAAAAAGAAGAAAAAGAGGCAAAGAAGAAGAAGAAGAAGAACATGGAAGAAGAAGAAGAAGAAGAAAAAAAAGAAAAGAAAAAACACAAAAAAGAAGAAATAGAAAAGAAGAAGAAGAAGAAGAGGACAAGAAGAAGATAACAGAATAAGAGAAAAAGAAGAAAAAGGAAAAACCAAGAAATAAGAAAAAGAAAAGAAGAAAAAAAATGAAAAAGAAGAAAAAGACAAAAATTGAAAAAAAAAACCCAAAAGAAAAGAAGAAGAAGAAGAATAAGAGACAAAAAAGAAGAGAACAGGAAAATTTAAGAAGAAGAGAAAAAAAGAAGAAAATTTATAAGAAGAAAAAAAATTAAGAAGAAGAAGAAAAAAAAAACACGAAAAATAAGACACAGAATGTCAGAGACCAAGAATTAAATATCCTAAAGAAGAAGAAGAGATCAAAAGAAGAAGAAGAAGAGACAAAGAAGAAGAGAACAGGAAGAAAGAAAAATAAAAGAAGAAGAAGAAGAAGAAGAAGATTGGAAATTATTCAAAAGAAATTAAACAGGAAGAAAAGAAAAAGTCAAGAAAAGAAGATTTAAAGAATTGGAGAGTTTCCAAAAGAAGAAGAGGCCATTTATCCATTTATATATATAAAACCAAGAAGAAGGAGACATTGAAGAAGAAGATATATATAAGAAGAATTTAAAAGAAAAGGAAGATATCGAGAAAAGAAGGATGGAAGAAGAAAACAGGTAGAAAAAAGAAAAAAGAAGAAGAAAAAAATAAGAAGAAGAGATCAAAAAGAAGAAAAGAGATAGAGGAAAGAAGAAGAAGAAGAAGAATCAGAGGATAAAGAAGAAGAAAAGAGACAAAAGAAGAAGAAGAAGAGACAAAAAGAAGAAGAATAAAAAATGAGAAGAAGAATTAAAAGAGGCCAATCAATGAAAAGAAAAAAAAGACAAAGAAGAAGGTAAAGAAGAAGAAATGAAAAAATATTCAGAAAAAGAATAAGAGAATAAGAAGAAGGAAGAAGAAGAAGGAAGAAGAAGAAAGAAGAAGAAGAAGAAGAAGAAGAAGAATGAGATTCAGTAAATGGATTGCCCAAAGAAAAGGAGATAAAAAAAGATAAAATTTTATTAAGAGTTAAAAGGACAGGAAATTGTGGAGAGCCA